GAGTGTGTTCTTTCGAGCAGACTGCTGTGGTATGGGATGCCATTACTGTGTTATGGATGATACTGTTTTCAGTTCTGTTCTATTACTCAGACATTTGGCATCTTGATCCACAGGTGTCTAGTTTGGAGTGTGTAGGTGGCAGGTAAGCAATAAGATCTTCGGTTTTGTAAAACCGCATTCATTACTAGTCTTAGTGCAATAGCAGAATTCTTAGGGAAGTCTAATGGGAAAACCTTCATTACCTTCATATTTGAGAGGAGCCTATTGCTGAATTTAAACACTTGAATGTTTTGGGGTGCAGGTCTAAGTGAGTTGTGACTGCATAAGCAGGAGCAGATTTCTTATGCAACTGCAGTTGTTTGTGTTTGTAGTGACTTATATAGTGACACAAGATGTTTTGCATTACTCTGTGCCAAGAAATTAGCACTTCAACTGTTGAACCATTGTTCTTGAAAAGATATTTATCTGTGAAGGGGAAGTAAATTAAAACCTTCTTTCTTTTATGGCTAGCCTAGTCTGTTCCTCTTATCAAGAGAAATCGAGCAGATTACAGTCATTAGTTCATCCCTAAAATCTCATTAAGGTTGTTTTGTTTGTTCTTCAAAGCTTTATTTCTGACCTACAGTTTGTATTTTCTAGGTGACAAAACAGGAACAAGACCAGAGTAAGTGTCAGATTTTCTTTGCATTCCATGTCTTATTAGAAAACAACTAAACTAAAATGTGTTGGCTTTTCTACTACTTCTATCTTGAAACAGGCATAAGTGTAAATAACCAACTTTTGCAATATGGCCAATTTAGTAATTGTGGTTTGGACACAAAATGTAATTTTAAACATTGCAGTTTTCCCATCAAATGCAATACCTACAGCTTATCTGGCATCTGCTATAGACTGATCATGTGGTCTAAAAAATGGTTTCTGCAAATGTGTACAATGCTTACACCACAGGCTTGGTCTCTGCCATAGTGTCTGTGTACACTAATCCAAATCATTCCTAGTTGCAGCATATGTGTAATGGGTGCAAATACCATCAGCTGCTTGAATGTTTTCACAATATTTAGTAGCTATGCAAAAATGTTTGGCAGTATTAAAGCACTGTCTAAACATGCATTGTCTCTTGCAGAGATAGCAAAGCACTAAAGGATGAAAATCTACCTCCGGTAATCTGTCAAGATGTAGAAAATCTACAGTAAGTTGTGGTTTTTGTTTATGATAGTTGATTAGCTAAAGTATTGTATGCTGTTGATGCTCTGTGACAACAAACGCCCTGTGGCAGGCTGCATGCAGGATAACTTACTAGCCCAAGGCCTCTCAGCAGATTAACCTTGGGAACAGAGTAGACTGGCAATTCTAGTAACTGAAGTCTTAGGCTTGTTTTTTTGCAGCCTTGCTTTCCTGTGCATTTATGCAAATGGGCATGCCCAACAAATACACTCTTGAAATCTGATCCATCTCCCCCTTAGAGTATTAAGCCTGTTGCATGTGCACAGCGAGTAGTGAACCTTATGTCCGTATGCCATGTGCGTTGTGGATCTCGTAAACTGCAAAAGAGCCTTCCCTCAGGCAGGAAGGAGGCTGATTGTGGACTAGTCAAAGAGACTGTGTGTCACTGTGTGTGTGAGTTTAAAGTAGTAATCACTTTTACATAAATGCTCTACATATAAAATAACTGATACATATTTTAGTTTGTCAGTGTTAAGCATAATATGTTTAAACACTTGCTGTTGAAGTTTAGAGGGGTTTTTGGTATTCTTTTTACAGTATTAGCGTGCTAGGAGTTCGGATAACACTATGCTGTACAGTAATTTTGCTGTTCAGTACCTGATTATGGAAAAATGAATCTAAAAGCTATTTAAATAATGTGACCAAGAGGTAAACACTTGAGTACTTTAGGTTCAATATATTATGTTTCTTTCCTCCCTACTGCCTTCTTTTTTCCTTCACCAGGAAATTTGTGAAAGAACAAAAACAAGTTCAGGAAGAAATTAGTAGAATGTCCTCTAAAGCAATGCTTAAAGTGCAAGAAGACATTAAAGCTTTGAAACAACTTCTGTCTGTAGTTGCCAGTGGATTACAGAGAAACACTCTTAATATTGACAAGCTGAAAGTGGAAACAGCACAGGTATAGTTGAATAAAAATTGTTATGCAGAGTTTGTATGTTGGTTATTTCATACAGGATAACTAGCCTTCTTTATCAGTCAAGTTAACACGTGTCCAAACTAAAACAGTTGTAAACAAAGTGAAAAATTGAATCCCTTCTAACCGATTTGAAGTTACTGGAGGAGACTGAAATATGTGATGTCAGTATTTTCAGGTCAGTACAACAGCAACAAGTGACTTTTATTCAGGAAAGCACTCTTCCATAGCAAAGGCAACAGAAGGGAATGTGTGCCCACCTTAGTTCAGTTACAGTTATATTCAACTGCTAATGAAGACATGTTTGTAACAACTTGCTGGGCTCTGGAGCAGCAGAAATGCAAGTATGTTTTCTTCTGATGACTTTTAAAAAACAACAGACAAACAAAAATCACCTAATAAAGTTTCAGGGACTGAAATATCTGAACTAGCACTAGTATTCATTTAGTGAGCTTGAGTCATGATTCGGTCCACCAGTCTGCATCTTAACTGTGCAGCCAGTTTGAGCTCAAGTTTTGATGCAGGTGCTTGTTTTGATGCAGGTGCTTTTCAAGTTAAGTTCTGTACCATTTTTTTATTTCATCTGGCATGTGAAGGCTGCTTGCTATATAAATAAGTATATTTTATTCTAAATTTAAAATGTTGATGTTTTTTCTGTACGTTGTGATACCAAAAGGAAATACTCTATAGTTGTGCCCTGTCAACAGTTTTCTGTGAAGGCAAAAACTTGTTGCTGGTATTCTCATATTTCTGTAAATGATGCAGTTGAGAATAATGGCAGCACCAGGCACTGAGAAGTTCTTAATGGCAGTTATTAGAAAGTATTAAACAGAAGTGTATGCTCTAATTATCATATAACTTTCATAGAGGCTTTTTTAACTAGTTAATCTTTTTTTTAAAGGCCAAATAATCCGTTCTGTTCTGTTTCTTCTTTTAACTGTGTTGCTTCCTTCCACTGGACTGTTGCTTTTTCCTTCCCTAGTCCTCAATGATTGTAGCAGGATTTCTGAAGTACAATAGAAATTAGATCTTATCTCTGCCTATTTAGTGCAATACTCTCTCAACTTCTGAGAGGTCAATGTGCTTTCAGTATGTGCTGTGGTTTGTTCCTTCCCCAAACTTCTCTTGGTATTTGCAGTTCTCCAACTTTCTGGCAGTTTATTCTTTGAGGAATTTCTGGTCAGATTCTATCATGTTGTTAAATATATGAAGAAAATATCTTGTGTGAATGAACAGTAGAGTTGCAGCTATTTTGCTTTTTGAATGCTTCGTACAGAGCCTTATCTTTTATTATTTTTCCCTATTTATTTAGGAGTTAAAGAATGCAGAAATAGCATTACGAACACAGAAAACTCCTCCTGGTCTCCAGCATGAAAATACAGCCCCAGCAGAGTGAGTTACTGTTATTCATTGAAAAATGGTCAGTATAACTTGGAGAACAGAAGACTCCAGGGAGACCTTATTGCAGCCTTTCAGTACTTAAAAGGGGCATATAAAAAAGATGAGGACAGACTTTTTAGTAGGGTCTGTAGCAATAGGACAAGGGATATAATGGTTTTAAACTGGAAAAAAGTAGATTCAGACTAGATATAAGGAAGAACTTTTTTCCTATGAGGGTGGTGAAACACTGGAACAAGTTGCCCAGAGAGGTGGTAGATGCCCCATCCCTGGAAACATATTTATCTTTATCTTGTAGACATGAGAAATAGAGTCTTTACTCTTTCCACTAATAGAGAGACATCAAGAATGTCATAGAATATAACTTGCAATTAATTAAATGAAAATTAGCAGCTAGTATAGATCAGATTTAAAAAAATAGTGGCGAGCTAGTGAAGTTTAATCAAACGATTTCATTGTTTTGCTCATCTAGCTACTTCAGAATCTTGGTTGAGCAGTTTGAAGTACAGCTGCAGCAATACAGGCAACAAATAGAAGAACTGGAAAATCATCTTGCTACTCAAGCAAACAATTCACACATAACTCCTCAAGGTAAATGTTTCAATTTTAATGTTTCACACATAAAAACTAAGATATCTTATACCTATAAGAAAAACTTTGTAACTTATCTCCTCTTCTGTTATTGTTGGCTTTTCTTATTTGATGTACAGAAATAAGTGTTCATATAGATTCTGCAGTTGTTCAATGTAAAGATGTGGAATTAAAAGTTAAATTCATAAAGGCTCTTGAGCTTTCAAAGATGGATCCAGTTACTGAGGTGCAATTTGTAAGCCTGGTTTGTTTTGACATCCACTATATCATCTCCCTCCTTTCAGCATCTAGCTGTCACCTTCTGTCTTGCACAGATACGGGTGTCTGCTTTGCTAACTCCAGATCAAATGGGAACTTTTCCTTAGTTTGGAGCCTGTTGATATTTCCCTCTGCTCTGACGAACTGAAAAAATGTAGTAGTCTGGTTTGCTGCCACATCATTCAGTCCTGGGAGAGCATCTCTGGTTAGACAGTACTGACCTGGTCAGTCAACCTTCTGGTTGTTTACCGTTCCTGTGATCATAGACACTTTTGGGCCATTTTAGGTACGGGTCCTGCAATAAGCAGTGATTTCAAGTGCATGTCTCTTTGTGCCAGATGGTACTTGAACATCTTGCTAACACAGGATGATACCTAGACTCTGGACCTTATATGTCAAAAACAAGAGAAATGTGTAGACTTAACTTCCAGAATGGAGTATCTGCTGAATCCTTAGGTCCTGTGTCTTTCCATGTGATCTTCTTGTCGGTCCAGAGTGAGAGAGATACCTTCACAGATTTTCCTCGGGTTTTTCAGCAATTCCTGCTATAATCTAAAGGTTCCTTGCTTATGTAGGCAAGGCTCAATCTGTGGTGCCAGCATGTTCAGACTATCAGCAAATGATCTAGTGATCTAGTCAACACTGCATTACATATGTAGCCTTTATCACACAGGAAAGACTTCTCTTACAATATAGGAAACCATGACCCAGAATGTCTTCAGAATATCTAAATATCTAGTGTTCAGTATCAACAAATTGCCTCCAGACTCTTTGGAAACTTGTGGCCAGTCTTCCTGGATACCACTGCCTCCACAGCTCTGCGGGTTGGCATGTTATTTATTCCTCACCTCTTCTTTTTCAGAAAGAAATGCTAATTCTAATGGAGAAATTCCCCTATGGAGAGGCAGGCTTTTTTAGTTCAAGAATCATTGCTAGACCTACACGTCTTCAAGAACTTGAGGGCTCCTGTTTGCATTTCAGTAGGTTGTATGCATCCTTCCGAGGAAATGCAGAAGTTGATCTTTTCGCAGTGAAAGACCACTTAAGGCTTTTCTGTTCTCCATTTTGGTACATTGTTTCAGTGCTTCTTTCAAAAAAGCTTTTTTTGCCAGCAGATGCCTTATTTTGCCAAAACCTTCCAGATTTCCACTTTAATCCTAAAGTTTTGTATTAGTTGGGTCAGTGCACTGAAAACACTTTTGTATTGGTATGGGAAGTAGGATATCCTAAATCTAAGACTTTATGTAGGCAGAAAGCTTCCCATTGTGTTTCTCTGTTGGATATGCTTGTGGGTAGAGCTAGAATAAGAATTTGTGATGCTTGTTGATCATGTCTTTAAAATTTAAGTAAAACAGCTTCCATTCTACTGCTCTCTCTTTGGCAAAATCAACTGAACGCTTTAACTGTGCTTTAAGTCAGAAAGAGTGGAAAATATATACAAACGCAAGAAAATCTGATTTAACTATACTTATGTACAAGCCAATGAGGTAAAATGTTCCTATGTAATACTTTTTAGCTTTGCTAAATGATAGAATAAAGGAAATGAATTACCATGTATATAAAAACAAATATGAGAAAAGAGTACTCTTCGAAATAAAGTTTGAAGCCCTTTCAAAAAGTAGTCCTTGGCTTATGTGTGTCACTCAATTGCTCTCAAGTTCTGTATCTTTATATACATCAACTTCTTCTCATGCAGTTGTTCTTGTGCTTTGTGCTCTATGGGTTTTGGGTGGGCTTCTTGCTGCAGTTTAAACACTAAGTCTTTTTCTGCTGGTAGATGGTCACTTACCAACGTTTTATCTCTTACAGATTTGTCTATGGCTATGCAGAAAATCTATCAAACATTTGTAGCTTTAGCTGCACAACTTCAATCAATACATGAAAATGTGAAGGTATGTTTTGATGTGTTACTGTGTATTTAGTGAAAGAACTACAAAAAAGTCGCTTTTTAAAAATGTATCTTCAGGTATTCTTTTTTCTTTTTCTGTTGAATTAACTGCTTTTAAAATTTTTCAAACTGTCTTGAAGTGCTTTGATTAAAAGAGTAACTTTTGTTCAGCCGAAACCTAATTTGATTTAATTATTTATTTATAGTAATGATAGCAACTGACCACAATCATTTAGGTTACAAAATGTTTTTATTAACTCCTTTTCCTTTTTAATGCTTGATCAGTTTTTGAAATATCTGGTTTTGAGCTCATGCTTGTATGTTTTGCTTTTTGCTTAATGACCTCTTCATCTCAAGCAAAGATGATCTAAATCTTGCTCTTACTCAAATACATAACAGAAAAAAAAGTAGGTATTCATATGTAAAATTTTTCAACATATCAGAATTTGGATAAAAATTGTGTTCTGGCTTGCTTGACTGTTATCAGCCTGGTTTTCATAAAAAGTCATATATACAGGAAAAGACGACAACTGTGAAGAAGTGCTAATGTCTCAAAGGCCCTAGTTAGGCTTGTTTTTTCCATCATGGACTCTGGCTTGAATTTCCCACTTACAGTTCTGGACATACTGTCAAAATGTCATAAAAAATCCATAATTTTTCTTGATCATCAGAACTCTTGGTTACAAAAAAAAACTTGGAGAAGAGTACAGATGTTTGAGATTGTTTCTGCTAAGTGACTTCCTTAATGAGAATAGCTCTGGTAAATCTGCTTGTTTCCTTGTCAAAGCTTCTGTCTGCACAGTATTGCTAGTTCTCTAAACATCTGAAACTTCACACTTTTTTCCTTGATAAAGTTCAGGAATACTGAGGATCTTTTAGGAACTAGATTCCTTGCATTGCATTGTTTCTGTCAGCGTGGTTATTCACTGGTTTACAGCTACCTGCCATCAGATGTTTGTGCTGCTCTTAACTCGGTTTTGGTACCAGATATGGAGGAGTTGATGTATTTTATAATTGTAGCATAATTACACAAAAAGGATCCCAAATGTGTTCTGGGCTCTTCTCTACTGAGATCTGTGTAGCCTGAACTCATGCAGTGGTCCTTGTGATGATACATTTTATTGCTCTTCAATATGAAGAGCTGGATTAATATGCAAGTGTAAGCAATAGTGTCTTCAGTACCTTGTCCGCATGACTGAATAGGAAAGACACTACTTCAGCTTCAGAAGTAATCTATTGCCTGAAACTAAGGGGTTCGTTTGAGGATTTTTCTTTATTTTGGGGTATTTTTTTGAGATTTAATCTAGTGGGTGGGCATGAAGGCTGATATTTTGGAACACAATTGTAACTAAAGCTTCAAAAATCAGAAAAATGAATGTAACTGCTTAAGTAGATCTGTCATTCTGACCATCTGTTTTAGCTTATCAGCTAGGAGAGGAGAGCAGTTTTGAAACAGCTGTTTCTGCCTTGTTCGATGGTTCTGATATGGTTTGTGAATGCAGAGCTGTGACCACAATTCATTCCTTCGTCTGAAGTAGGCTTTCTGGTTTGCACGTACACTTTGATTCAAAGTTCTGAAGCTGTAGAAAAATATGACCTGAAGCATTTTTGCACAGGGCTAGTTGTTAAATATATTTATATCATATATGAACATATCGATACATTCTGTACCCAAGGTCATGGAAAAATAGAATGTACTTGGGCACAATTCAGGTAGAGAGTGTCATTAAATAATTCCACATAGGTTAGCCTTAAGAACTGCTCTACAATGTCTAATACACTTGTCAGCTCCTAAGGCAGTCAGTATGGCATTGTATGAAATCTTGTCAGAGTTCTAGAAATGTCTTTTCTCTCCAAAGACAGCACTCCTGTGATAAGGAGGTCATTATTTCTGTATGTTTCCTGCTGTTGCTTATAGACTTAGGATTATAGCTGTTCAAATCCTGAGTCAGAATTTTTGGACTGTAAGCTCCTCTTCTTGGAAACAAGCATATCCTTACCCAGGAGCACAGGATATAGTATGCCTTCCGTAAAATTCAATTGAATTGAATATTCTGTTCTTTGATTTTAATATATCTATTACATTTAAAGATTCTCTGTTAGAAGATGAAAATAATTCTATCAGTTCTTTAATTGAAGGCATGTATTCCCTTTGTTACCTAAGCTATCCATACTTCCCTCATATGACAGATAGGAATGACTCATGATGAAGAGGCCAAGCCATGTGTTGTCACTGAAGGTGGAGTTTTGAGGGGAGAAGGGGGGACATGACACAACAGATTTAGGCTACTTGTTAGTCTAAAGCAGAATGATCTATTGCATTTGCACTGAATTACATCATTGATGAAATGCATCAGAAACAAGAGTGAATTCTAAAATTCTGGTAGCTTTAGCTTTGTGTTAAGAAAGAAATGCAAGTGAAAGGAAGGAAAGAAATACAGGTGAAGGTGATAGGGAAGCAAAAGCAGGCTCTGTGCAGAAGGGTAGCACTGAAGAGCGTGTTATGTTACAATCTAGTAATGTGGCTGTATTTAGCCTCTTATGTCAGCTAGTACAGTGAGACAAATTGAATTGTGCTGATTTACACCAACTTTGATAGATTTTTATACCATTTGGTATGTTAGTCTGTTGGGCTTGACTGCTTTGCAGAGTTTAAGTAAGGAACCTGTTTTGGCTGTAGCTGATGCAAAACAGTTCTCTCCAGCTCATAGCCTGACCAGATCCTTTCAGGTTGTGGGGGGCTTTTTTTTTTTTTCTTTTAAGGAAATGTTATCAATAACTCAGTGTCTTTTTCTTGATTAAGTTAAAGTTTTGTGTCCAATACACTGAACTAAAATGGCTTCCCCCACCCCCTTCAGATGCTCAAAGACCAATACCTTGGCTACAGGAAAACCTTTCTGGGAGATGCCATGGATGTGTTTGAGGCAAGACGAACAGAAGCTAAGAAGTGGCAGAGCGCGCCACGTGTTACCACGGGACCGACCCCTTTCAGCAGCATACCAAATGCAGCAGCCGTTGCGATGGCTGCAACACTTACTCAGCAGCAACAGCCTGCTACAGGTCTGAGTGCATTCAAGTTATAGATTATTAGTGTTACGACAATAGTAAATTTGTGTAAAATTTTCTACGAAGTCTTCCTTCGTGTTCGACTAAAAATCTAAACGTTGTGATGAGCGAAGTTACTGATACATAGCCAATAGAAAAATGCAGGGTAGACTTAGCAATAATTATACAACAGATACTTAATCTTGTGAATTTACTTGTGTTAGTGATATTTACTGTATTGTTCTAACTTACCCCTTGGAATGTGAGTCTTGACTCTTCAGTAACATCTCTGAATACGCATAGTATAGCCTCCTTCCAGAATTGTATGGTTATAGTAAATTGTTTCAAATCGGTGAGGAGAGAATATCTAAATGCATATTACCATTTTCTTATGTAAAATTAAGAATGCATTTTTACATAGCACTTTGGAACCATAAAAAGGAAAAATTCTGTAGAACAGGAAGGATAGTGGAGCAAACATCTGTAGAATAGGAAGATGGATGCCTGGCTTATTATTTTGTAGCCACCTCCTTTGTCAAGGTGATATTGGAGCAGTTTTTGCTGGTCATTCTGCTGTTGTGAGTAAGTATTAGAGAAAGTAGAGTGGATCAGTAGTTGTGTGTGCATGTGTGTAAGAAGGAAGACCAAAATACAGGAAATGCATGACCCACCGCTAATGAAGCGTGGATACATATAGCAAAGGAAATAACTTAAGGAACCTTAGTTGGCATTGTTATACTAACCAACACTTGTCAGAGAGGGATTCCTGAACGTGGAGAATTGAATTAATATTTAATCATTTAACAGAAATAAGATAAATTCCATTTAATTTTACTTCAACCTGGATATCTGTCTATGTCAGCAAATTATGAAAAACATAGGTAACTTCATTCCATCGTGTTTTCTAAGATCTTCTTTATAGGTGTACTGAAAGTTGTATTAGCACCTTTCCCTTCTCTTGTCTTACAACAGCAGTCATATTTTGAATGGTTTTAGAGACCTATGCAGCAACCCCCCTATGTTTGACAAATCATTAGACTGTCCTTGCATCCCTCATAAAAGGAAAATACAATGTCCTTCCAGCCCTGGCCCTTAGAAACAGCAAGGAGATGGGTTTAAAAGACAAGTATGCCAAAATACTTTGAACGTAGCAAAAAATGAAGTCTGTTTGAAATGTTTCTCTTCTAAATTTCTGTCACAGAGAACAATCTTCCTGTTGCTGCTATGTTAATCCATGGAAATCTTGTTAAAGTGACATCTGCAAAAGAGTCTAGTTTTAAACAGAAAACATGAGATAACGTAATTTTATGCTTCAGGGTTTTTAATACAGATAGAAGTGTGGCTTGTGCAGCCTAACGTTGCCAAAGTAGTTCCCTCTCCCTTCATCTTTGTGTCTCATGTGGTTTTCAAAATACTCTCCACAGTTGTTACAGGATTAGTTGCGTATGAAAATCATACTTGGGATGTCACACTTAAAGTTATATCGGCATTTTCATGAATTGAGGGGAGGGATTTGAACTTCCTCTTCCTAGTCCAGATTCAAGAGAACTGCTAATAATAATAACTTCAGTAAATTGATGCCACATATGGCATGATTTTGTGAATATTCTCTTAGAAGTAGGAGCGAAGAGATGAAAAAAAAGCAGAAATGACCTGTACCAACACACCTGAGGTAAGGTGACTTTATACCTTGAGGTATTTTGTAATGTTTTGTAGTAAAAGGAGCAAATCGGAGCATGTGTAGGGGTTGGATTTTTTTTTGGTTGGTGGTTTTGACAGAGTATTTCAAAAGCCAGAATTGTGCCAACTACAAGAGTGATGCAGATAGAACAAAGCCATTAACTTATGTTGAACATGCCAACAAAAGTAGGCAACGATTTTTTTGCTACTTATACAGTTGGAATATTGTTACCCTCCATGCAACTCACTTGAGGACCTGGAGAAAGAGTAGTAGATTGTTATTTTGAGTGGCACTTCAAGAGTACTTAACGCTTAGGTTAACTCTTAGGGTTAGGTGGAGGTTGAAGTAGTCTTTTCTGTTCCTCTAGCTCAAAAGCAGGATTAGTCAGGCCTGAACTATTTCAGTGATATCTTAAAGACTTAAAAGCTTGCTAGAAAAGAAAATTTCACTACTTTCCTAAATTACTGATTTCAGTGCTTGACTTTTTCCTAACAATTTACCTGAAACTTCTTAGCTTCGGATTAAGGCTGCCACTTTTTGTCTTGCCCTTAGTGAAAAAAAAAAATTTTTTTTGGTTTTGCAGGGTATCTTTAAATACTTAGATTGCCTCCTCTTCATTTTCTTTTCCTTGTTCTGAGTTTTCAGATGCAAGCATTTGCTGTTTTACTGCAGCAAATGGTCATGTTTTAACTTTGTGTTATGTTATTATGAATTTGATAAACTATCTAACAGAAGTTAAAATCACATGTATTTCCTTGCAAGATGTAGATCCTGAAGAGTGGGATAGATGAGGGACAGTAGAAGGTTGTGAGAGAAAATACTATGAAATGAGGTGTATGTAAAGGGAGGGTGGAGTTGTGTGTCTGTGTAATACCTGACCTGCTGTTGCTGTTCTTAACAATAAGAATAAACCAAGAAAATTAATCTGGGCCTTAAAGTTTTTTACTAAAATCTAATATATGGTACTCTAGCATTGAGGGATCAGGATAGTTAGTTTCTTTTTTTAAAAAATACTTGATGTTTACATGGTTAGGTCTATTTCATAAGATTAATTTAGAGTTAGTTACTGTTCTTTCTCTGAAAAAGATAAGTAATAATTTATTTTAAATTTGTCTTCAGAAGTCAAAAGTTTAGTAGCTACATCTAAGCTGTGGGATCAGGGAATGTTTCTGCAGTTCCTGGGTGTAGATTGCACCCTGTTTATGTTCTCTCTGTATGCCAAGACATGTCTGGCTTCTGTTGAAATAAATAAAGCCAGTGGATCCTGGCCATATGGAAGAAAGGGAGCAAAGATGTGCTCCACTGGTCTCCTGGGATGGATAATCAGGATACCAAGACTACGGTGTGCTCACTGAAGCACAATTTTTGTGCAGTTTTTTGAAGCTAGAGTTATTAAAATTATGCTTAAGTCTAGTCTGCACACAACCTTTCTCCTTAGTTCAGCACTTTTGCTCTGAGCACAGCTTTGTTGGTAGCAGTGAGGCTGGTCATGCATTTGTGCAGTAGCAGCTAGTTTTAAGCACTGCCTCACCTGCACCTTCCCTGAGTGATGTTGGACAGCATGGAACTCAAAATGATGGTGGCTAGCCTACCTGTTATTATTGATGGGACTAAAGTAAAAGATTTAAAAGGAAATTAAAAGTCTAGTGAACTAAGAGCTGTGAATGCATGAGGCTGAAACTGGTATTTTTCTGGTAAGACTAAGTTGTCTTGAAGAAATTATTTTCTTCAAGCTCACCTTTCCTCCTCTGAAAAATAAAGTACCCCTCCAACAACTTAGTTACTCTCTCCTTAACTGGTGAAGTGCAGAGTTAGTCAAAGCATTATCAAGCTGTTAACACACTTTGTTATGTTTTGTCTGAACTCAGTATGAGATTGAAGTGCTAATGGGAAAGGATACTGAAGCCTCTATAGCACTTAAAATTTTTATTGTGTAATGTGGTATTAACCTTGGTTAAAATTAGTCAGTGTATTACTTCGTCAGAATCAGATCTAAGTTGTGACACTAAATTTGTTCACTGTTAGGACTAGCTGTGATTTGAAAAATTGCAGAATGTCACTTCAGGGAATCTGGCTGACCTGTCTGGACTCTTTGTAGTGGGTCCTATTCATTAAACCGTAATGGTCTACAGGGCAAATATATAAAGTTTTAAAATGTTGAAATACTTGTTATAAAGAATTTGTCTTGTACCTATAATAGCCAGAAGTGCCAATTTTTTGCTAGTACTTTTGGCATCAAAGAATCTTTAGTACTATTTTTTTGCTATTGAAAATTATGTTTACTGACAAGAACTAGAAGTTGTGATGATGCCTTCAGAACATTATGGTACAAAATCAACAAGTATCATATGCTGTTGCTCAATGAAAAGCTTCTTAGCATAAGGCATAAGATCCTGGTTTATATAATCCAAGGTGTTTTAGAATAATGTTTTTTACTGGCTCTAAAAAGCATGTTGCATTTGGTAAAAAGCTTGGCCTGGAGGACTGTAGTGTTTTGTTTTAAGGTCTTCCACTAACAGTGCCTCCTACTGAGATAGAAACCTGTGCACTTGAGAAGAAACTGGATATATGTTTTTGGGTTCTTTTAGCTTATTAGATGACTAACTGGCTTGTGAAGGGTTTTTTGTTTCTTTTTATTGATAACAATTTTCTCCTTATTTTTAAAGAGCTGCTAGGTAGATATATCAGTATTTAAACTGGATGTAAACAAGTTTAGGTTTAAATTTATGTGAAAATTTGTAATTACAACATCTGATATACTTTTTTTATTTGGAAAAAATAGCTTGGGTTTCCCAACTATTCCCTGCTAAGCAGAGATTGAAAACTAACAACTTTGCCCTTAGAATTTAGTTTAACACTACTTTGAGTATACAGCTGTCGTTCAGCTTGGATCACAAGAATTTTGTGTTCCTAGCAAAAATGTCACTTTGCAACATACAGTGCCTTTCACTTGATTCAAAATGATTTTCCATTTAAATCTTCAAATATTGAAATGATTTTAAAAGCTTGAAATACTTACATTTTAGAACTGTAGATAAATATTAGTAACAGAAAACTTTGTAGTATGAAGGAATAAATTTTGAATGAAAATAAGCCTAAATGTGATAATGGTTTAGGAAAAAGACGGGAATTATCTGAGCTTGATAGTAATTGAATAAATCATCACTTTCACAGATACAGTACATAAAGTATGTTTAAACATGGAGAAGGCTGTCTTGAGAAAAGGGGTGAATGTCTGTGGATTAAGAGTTTGGCACTGTATTTTTATCGTCAATGGTTAAACTTTTAACTAGTGCACTGAAAACTGTTTGAAAAAGACAGGAATATAAGGTTGTACTGTGAAAACTGTCAAAATATATTAATTATTTATCAGAATTAATTATTTTAAAATGTGCTAGTAATGGGCTAGCAAGTTGATTCTTTATTTCCCTAAGGTTAAGAGAAATGAAAGGAACTGAGGCTGTAAATTTCATCTTGGCAGACTGAATATGGTTTTTTTGACAGTTCTGCATCTTAGTGTGAATATGCAGAGAAAGTACTGTCAACTTTTTTAATTATGGGACAAACTCTGAAATTTTGAATGTATCTAATTCATGAAGGTACACAGAACTGTGCCTTTTGTAAATGTTTATTTAAACAGGTGGTTTGACTAGTTTACCTTATTGAATGGTGTTATGTAGCAGAGCTTAACAGAACTCAGTTATCACTTGTGTGGAAAAGAATTGAATTGTCATGTTACTGTGTAATTGACTTGCTTAAAAATGAACAATAAATTTAATAAAATAAAGTCATTGTCTTGTTTTTTATCTTAGTGTTCTGTTTCAAATTTGGATGGAATACTTGTAGTTTTGAAGATTCCTATTTAAATAAATAATCAATACAGTTTAGTAATATATACTTATATATAGTGTGTATATATACATTTTATATACTATATATAGTATATATAGTAATATAGTATTTGTTACATTAGTGTCAGTTCTTATGTTTTTAATTTGAAGGTTTTCCCTTCTGATTTCATTAATACAGGTGGCAAAATGTTGTTACCTATGAGTTCTCTCAAGGTTTAGATTTAATGTTTTAAACTTTAAGATGAGACTAGTTAACTTTTAAAAATACTAAATAATGTTGTTATGTTGTTAGCTTTTACCAGTTTCATCTTATTACAGTCAGTGTTTTCTGAGATTTTTACCAGGTGGATGTAGAGACAGACAGTTAAGTGAGGAATTTTGATGAGGTAAAGTTTGGGATCTTAATAGGATTTGTTGAAAGCAATGATGTTCACATAAAATACTTGAATAAATAAATAAAGGACCTCTTTACTATGAAAGAGTAAGGCAAGTTTGTTCTCATTTTTTTTATACCAGGGCCACAGCCATCTCTGGGAGTTAGTTTTGGAACGCCATTCGGCTCAGGTATTGGCACTGGCTTGCAATCAAGTGGCTTAGGTTCTTCAAGCCTTGGAGGTACACTTTAACTTTTCTAATATTTAATTGAATTATTATACCGCACATCTGAATCTCTTGCAAACCTTTAACTCCACTAAGAGGATGATCTGTTTGAGGGAAGGACCTTACAATTTGGTAGTCCGTGCTTTCCAAACTTCATGCCTTGCAGAAGGAATTGCTAAAGCTAATAGTAAGGCTAATAAGCCATTGTAGTGAAAACCCAGGGTGAACAGGGTGAAGTATTCACATTGAAGTTTTGTTTTTAAAGCTAGACAAGTACATCAGTTACATCCTTTTGTAATTACAACTCAACTTATTAAGCACCTGAAACATTGGATCATGCTGTAGCTAATCCATAGAAGTTTTTCACCTGTATGTTAAACTGTTAACTATAGGGACTCATTTCTGCTTGGATTAAGATAAGAAGAAATGCTAAGAAGTTACTGTAGTTCTGGGCTCCTGCTTGCAGAAACATATTGCTTTAGCTGTCATTCTGTCTCTCAGTGCTGAGGTGGAAAAAAATCTCTCCTCAAGCTGAAAAAGCAACATTTGAAAGTGAGAGAAAAGTACTTATCAAAACATTAGAAGTGTTGGTGGGGAATATATTCCAAGAGGACACATGACTGAAAGAGTAGGTGGTAATAAAAAAAATGATAAAATTCACGTAGACCTTTTCATTTCAATGTAATGAATTCAGTAGTAGAACTACAAGTAAAATCTAAGTGATTAGTAGAAGGTAATCCGCATGTAAATTTCTTATCCGTATGGGTCAGGGGTTCCAACAGTGCAAGTCAAAAGACAGTAGTGTCCTCTGAAGCTTTTGTATGAGATCTGCAAAGAATATTGTTACATCTGGTGAGCACAAACATAACATGTTGTGGTTTTTCTTATACGTCCTTGCCTCTGTGCAGCCTCAGTCCACAGCCCTGCATATTCTCCCTTTACAAGTCTAATATGAATCAGTGTTGCAATGTATTTAAAATAATTAAACCTCAGTCGCTATTGGAAAGATGATGCAACTTGCACGTTACATCAGTTTGTACCTTAAATTATCATCTTGAAATTGTCTTTAAATCTACCAATGTCCTTTCTCATCAGATTTTAAGCTTTTTCAGGTAAATGAACGTCTGTACACCTAAACAGGAAAAATAACAGAGAATAGCGGGCTAAAAGGAAAGTACTTCCGAATTACCAGGTCATTCCCACAATGTTTTAAATGTCTTAAAAAAACCCAACACAATCATAAACCCTTTTCAACCAAAGAGCTTGTAGACTAAAGATTGTTTATATAGGTTCACCAATCTTGCCAATGTAAATTAAAGAACATTTTCTTTTAAATTGATGGACAGCTGCTTCTAGTTTTGTCTTAGAGGCCTAACTTTTTTCCTTTTTTTGCTACTTCTCTGCTTAGAAAAGTATTTGCATGCATTTCATCTATTCTGTATTAATTTGCAAAATTTTTGTCTTTTGACAAATAAAGAAGACTATCTGATAGAAGCAAGTGTAGAAAAATAAAGGAATACATGCAAAATATCCTGCAGATGTGCTGTTGGAAACAAATTAACAGAATTAATACTGAAGATTTTTATCTTGGGCGGGTTTTTTGAGTAGGACAATTTTGAATGTATACTCTTGAAACATTCTTTTAATTGGCAAAATTTGCTCTCTTTCCGTGATAAATATTCTGTGAATTTTGTTAGTGCTGTAGAGACTTTTGCATTTAAATATGAGAGATGTAGCTTATAGATCCTATGCTTCATTAAACGTTTGCAGACACCTTGCCTGACCATTGGTAATTAATTTCAAACTAGATAGGACAAAAAAGCGTATCATTTAAATAAACTCTTACGTTCAAATGATACTTGCCATTATATACCCTTAAAACTTACTCGATTTAAAAATTGCAGAAGACTAGAGAACACTGCTTCAGATAGTGTTCAATCCTTACTAGTTTTAAAATCTAAAAATTATTTCTGTGAAGGAATGGTAAAGGCTCAATACCTGTTTTTTTCCCTGACACTTGGAACTTAAGAATGGGAGCACGATTTCCTCAAATACAAATAGTATTTTTTGAAAACCTCTTGAGACAACCAAAGTCAGAGAATATATTTCTCTTACTGTTCCTTTTGTCTGGCCTTTATCTCAAACTGCAAGTATCAACTTACTTTTCCTTTGAAGTGATCTCATTGATAACACATTTGGAATCTTGAAATATTTATCTTATGGAATTATAAATGTCAATTACAAAATTAACAGAATGAGTTTTATTACAGCGGTAAGTTTATGGCTGCCGTTTATATGATGATATTTCCTGTTAAATATTGTGCAATTCTGTTTCTGTACAGTATTTAACCTATTTTGTGATTTCCTAGATGAAGCTGATCCCTAATAACCTGGTGGGGGGATGACTGTAAAACAAGCCAAATGTAAACTCAAGAAAATGTTTACTCTGTTTTAATTGTAGAAAATTTTTCCTTCAGAGTTTTGGATTAAGATTGCAGCATTCTGTAACAGAAGTCATATAACTTGTCTGATTTTTTTCTTAGTTTTGACCTATTTGACTACCATTTTCTTCCCAATTTAACAGCATTCAATAGCAATTTTGTAAACTCTGATAGTTTTTCATCTGTTTTTATAGCTTTTCCTTTACTCGGTTTTGTATTTTGAAGGAAGGATTTTTCTCCAATGCTTTCCTGTTTCCACTGTTTTCTTAACACAATGTTGTGTTGAGAATAATAATACTCTTGAGGCAATAATGTTAGGAATATTTGTTTACCAAATAGCTTTTAGAATTATGTTTGGTTAGAACACTTGCCAAAAAAGCTCTGTGTCTTCAATTGCTGTGTCTGTAATTTTTTTGTTGTATGTCTTTACTGTTATTCTACTAGGATTTGGAAGTAGCTCTGCCTTTGGAAGTAGTGCCACTGGAGCATCATCATTTGGGTTTGGAACTACAAGTAAACCATCTGGAAGTCTAAGTGCAGGTTGGTTTATTTCTCTTGAATTCCAAGTTTGTCTTAAAGTAGAAGTGTTATAATCAAACTGCTGCACTCGGTCTAAGAAGGCTGCCGAAACACGTGCTTAAAGCTGCATGTGTATATAACCATTAAAGTATTTAGCACTTACTTGCTAAATGCACATTTTCAGAGAAGTTTTTAGGTTCTGTTAAAGGTCTCCTAGGTAGACAGTATTGAGTGAGCATTGATGTTTTCTGTTTGATGGTTGTCTTATCTAATTAGGAGTGGAAGCAGGAGGTCAGATACATCAGATTAGGTCAGATGCAGTTTGAGGCACAGAAATGCAGTTACTACTTGAATTCATGGCCTATATGAGCTGTTGAAATTAGTGTATAAATTTGTGATGAATATACCAGTATTTTGACTTCCTGTATTTCCAAGTAAAGTTAAAATTATTTTTTAGAAGCCCAGAAGGTTTCCTTAAAACTGCTTATCTGCTTATCCTTTCTGTTTCAATAGTGAATTGTAGGTATTGTACCTCTGTATAGATCCATAATTCATTGCGTTAACTGCTTTTCTGTAAACATTGCTGTGGCAATTGGACTACTCAGTACCCATTTCACTTTTTTGGTTTAATTTTGTCGGCGATGAGAAAACGAAAATATTGATGCACTTACTCCTTGACTCAGATTTCTGAAGTCTTAGTCACTTCTATAGCTTGCATCTCTTTTTACTTTTTAAAGAGGAGTTTGTTTTTTGAGGCAAATAGCTTACTATAGTCTGTCTTACAGTCTTTCTTCGATGACAGATTGAAGGAGTATGGTATCTCCTAGGACTGGCTTTTGGTAGCATGTTTCTTTTAAAAAAGCAAAATGGTTTTTTTTACCTGCTATTAATACAAACATAGCAAGTGGCTGGTATTTATTAGTAAATACCCAGTATATTAGCTTGGACCAGTGTCTTGTTAGTTGCCATGCTTTTCGTTTCGTTTTGCTTTGCTTTTTCCTTGGGTAGTAATGAGTTATGCTGTCAAATTAGACCTATGAAATATCTTAAGCTTTGTGTTACAAAGTGGAAATAGCTCACTAAGCTGGCTGTGTAACATGCTTGAATGTGTAACATCCTAGTAAATTCTTGATAGAACATCTCAGATTTTGCAGCATGCAGTGTTTAAGCATCAGCCTATTTTTGCTTAGTTAAATATCAGAAACAAGTGGAAAATTCACATTGCTTACATTTTTATCTTGTAGCTTATTTTTCCTGAGCCTATATTAAATTACTTATTATCAATATTTATATAAACCGTATTGCAGCATTTCAAGCTGCTAAGTTACAAAGTACATAGTTTAGTTTTTAGTATATTAAGAAATGTAATTATAAAACTATTGTAGAGATCAGTTGTCCACCACTGATGAGGTATCAAACCAAAGCAAATAGCAAGCCTGCCTTAGCTACATTGGTGATGTGCAGAGACAATTTAGATGTCATTTTGCTATGTTCCTCAAACCAGACTTTGTCATGGTGGCAGTGCCCCCAATCTCTCTTTAGCGGTGAGGGAGTTGGACTGAATAAAATGAAGATCGTTTTCAGCTCAGTGAGGAGTCTCAGCTGCACAAGGTGCTAACCAGGAATATAAAAGACTAAATGTAATTTCTGTTATAAAATGAAGTGGTCATGAAATCTTGATCTAGACTGTGATAGAAACCTCCATAAAAATTTGGTAGCCCAGAAGCACAAACTTTTATATCCAAAATCCTATGCTTTATAGCTTCTGGATTGCATATGATCTTTATTTTAATTTTATTGAAGGAGTATAAATGGATTTGAATGATGCCAGAGGCTAGCCAGGTTATATATATTTTTTATGTGTATATACTTTTTTTAATTTTAATGTGTCCTGTTTCTTAGATAACGTTTACAGGATCCTGAAACAGTATTCTGGTTTATATTACTGTATGATAATTGTATCTTATTTCTGAATCTCTTTCTTTGAAAAAGTGAGGAAAATGGGGTGAATATGGGTTATGGGATATACTGTTATTACTGCTTGTGTTTGAATGTGAGCACTTAAGTATTTTCCCAACTAATGTCTAGTAAGTGTTCTGTCACCCTGTCCTTCTACACTGCTTAGATAATGCCCCGTCTCCTCCGTATGTTTTCCATCAGTTTGTTCTTATTTTAGCACAAAAATTATAGATCCCCAAATTGCTTCTGTCAAGTGTTTGTAAGTTATGAGCTAAATTTAATTGCTTTCAAAGATTTGCAAATGTTTCTACTAGTATTACTATTCTGAACAATTTCAGTTTGTATGTTTGAAGAGAAAATTCTGAGTCCTCTGAAAGTACTTGAGCATCTTCTGACAGTAAATTTGGCTTAGTCCCAGAACAGTCGCCATGTCCACAGTGTCAGTAGCTGAAAAGCAGAGCAGCAGCCATCTTCTCTCAGTCCCTGTAGTGCACACGATTGCGAGACGGAACGAGTCTCTCAGACTTCCCTCTGAAACCCACACAGACACTGTGGAAAGCGGACTCTAAATCAAGTCTCTATTACTTCCTACTCTTATTAATTTGATGGCAACCGAAAAGGCTGATGTGAGTGGGATGTTGTAGAGAGCATTAAGACTCCTAAAGTGATGGGAAAAGGGGAAAAAAAAGACAGTTGAATTTATAGATATATAATGTTAAGGGAAGGGGGTGTGTACACACACACTGTTTTTGTGAAAACATGCTAAATATGCTTTGAAGAGCTGAAATGAGAATTTTTGCATTGGAGACTTAGTAAAGAATAGCAGCCTTATTACACAGTATAGGAGATTATCAAGTGGGATCAGGGCTGGACATATACTGCTTGAAAAAGTGGATCTAAGTATAATCATAGAATCCATGTGTAACTATGAGCAGCTTTTAGATACAGAGGCTATAGTAAATCAGTCAAAGCTGTGCTGCAAATCCGTTTTGATCTAGAGCGCCTATTGTGGCGTGGAGGACGAGGGCAGGAATAGATTGCCTTTGAGATCTGCTGAACTGCTGTTTATCCTTGTAGTGTTAAAATTAAAAAAAAATACTGTTATGGGGAGGTGCGTACCTCATGTTTGGCTTACCTGTCTAAAGGGCTGACTGAAGCAGAGATGTGAAATCCCAGTGAATAAAGTGTACTCTGAGGTCCTTCAGGGAGATGCTAAGTCTATGCCCTTGAAGGGCAGGTTGTCATTTACTTTCTGAAAATAGTTACTGACACATAAGTAATACTAATTTCAACAGAGAAACCGTTGATCACGTCGTAGCTACGGTTCAAGACTTTGTGACTCTTCCCTCTAGAACTAAGCTATTCCGTGACTGATGCTCTTTCCTTGCAACAGGAATAAGACTGAATGTATACCTTGTTCAGGTTTTTATTCCTGAAGATTTTTCATTTGAGTATTCTGCTTTAGGGTTTGGCTTACTTTTCTTTAAAGAGCTTCATACCACGGCCTTGTTGTGCTGCCAAGACAGGACAGAGCCACTTAGATTAATTGTCCTTCTCCCTCTCTACACTTTTGTGGCTGCTCTAAATGGTGCTTCTAACAAAACAGCTGTTACTTTCCAATTTGTATTTAAATTAACAAGCATGTCTCTCAGTCTTCTATCAAACAGGCTATGCTCTCTTTCTTATTCTGACATTACTCAAATAAAGCTCAGACCACCTTCTCAGCATGCTTCAAAATAGAAGCAGCTAGGTGGAGGTTAACACTTAATTCATCAACACTTTACCCTTGCCTCTTGAACTCCTGATACTGTACATCACATACAGCTTTATTATGAATGGCATTTCACGATGTTTTCTATAGGAGGCAGTGCTTACCTGATATCTCAGATACGTACTTGAAGTCAAAAGATAACCTACCGAGAACAGTTTTGGTTATTAAAGATTCTTTTCATTCATTAGACTCCCTGATGAAGAAGTTTCTTCTAAAATCTTACTTGAGATTCAGATTTAGCAAGGAAATGGAGGAACAGTTGCATCTGCCTCCACCCCTTACATCCTAGGATGAGAGAGAAATTAATCCACAAAACTTAGACAAGACCTTAATGAACAATACCATTAGTCACACTCTAGATCTGCACACTCATTAGATTGACAGTGAGTTGTGCACAGGCAACTGCACGTTAAAGAACTGCAGTTACTGGAATGTAAATAATGGGGGATTTTCTTGCCAAGACGCTGTGGTGTATAACCCAGCTGCACGTTATGTTTTGAAGTAGTTCTTGATCCAAAGCATCAGTAACAAGTGAGAGAATAGAAGACATCAGGCTTGAGAGCCACTTTAGGATCCTGATGAGGCAGTTGAGTTTTTATTTCTGTGTTCTAAAGATACTTAGGCATTGAGTTGAAGATACTGATGTGATCAAAGGATTGCTTTAACTGTCTACTTGAGAACTAACAAAACTGTGTTAAGTAACCCTTTTTTTGCTGATGAACCAGTCCCATTTTTTAAATATTTAAATTGTTTACAGGTTTCCATGTGCAACTTGTATAAAACTATTTCTTAAAATCTTAACTTGCTCGTGCCGTACTTATTGTTTTGTGTGGTTGGTGACCTTATTCGGTTTCTAGAGAGAAGAAGCGGAGTTACAAAGTTCTGCTTCTTGTTAATTCATATTTGAGAATTTTTTAGCATTCTCTGATAGTTTCAGTTATTATCCAAGTTGGTTGTGCATAACTGACATAAATTCACAAAAGAAAGTAAAATGAGTTGGTGTTGCTGAAAACTGCAGGCAGGTTTTCTTCAGCTGATCTTGTTTTATAGCTGAACCAAACGTTCAGTTTGTTTACCTTTTATAGAAGAGGATGGAGGAATTAAAATAGCACAATTCACTCACCTAGTCATTCAGCTTTTTCAAAGCTTTATTTTCAGTGCTGCTTTTTGACTTAAGTCATAAAGGGTGTTTTTCAATACCAGAACTTTGGCAAAGATTTTGAGCCTTTTCTGCCTCATTTACGGCATGACCTGTGCCATGTATGTTATAAAGACAGGCAAAGGTAGCCTAGTCGGTAGGGCACAAGGCTGGGAGCTCCGACTCCAGCTTTGCCATTTATCTGCTGGGAATGAAGTGAGTGGTCACAGTCCATGGGTACTTCTGCCTTCCCTCCCACCCTACGTATGCATTACGCATGTAGACTGAGAACTCGAGTTACCCTTCTTCTGTTGTACAATTTCAGTGAGGCTTTTGAGTGCCATGGATGACGGTATAACAGACTTGGGATTTAGGATATGATTGTTTACAATCACTGAGGTAGACTGTTACTAGTGCTGTAATATGCAAGTTGTCATAGCAAGGCCAAGTGCCTTAGCAATGTGGCATACTGTTGTAGATCCATGTTAGTATAAAGTATTACAAATATTGATAATAAAGTGGCTGATGTTCATAACTCCAAGGAGAACAGACTTGCAATCCTGATATAACTTCTGTTTTAAAATATTTTTCCCTCCCTCATAAGGCTTTGGCAGCTCGACTACATCTGGGTTTAACTTCAGCAATCCCGGCATCACAGCATCAGCTGGCCTGACGTTCGGGGTGTCTAATCCTGCATCTGCAGGCTTTGGGACAGGAGGGCAACTTCTTCAGCTGAAGAAACCTCCAGCTGGAAACAAGCGAGGGAAAAGATAGGCACCTCTTTTAGGAAAGGGGAAGTGAATCAACTTTGTTCATCTGAAAAGTCTATTTTTCTAGATTGATGCATTAATTAAATTGCATCCCAGAAGATTTATAGAAAATTTTGCTACTTTTCCCTAGTCTGAAATACAAAATAAAATCATATTGAACAGCTATTTTCTTGTGAATAGAAACCTGTTTATGTATTTTTATTTTTGGCCCTAGTTTTAGAAATGTTCTATACTGCATTATTATTAAAGAATCTTGTAAAACCATCTATTTAACCTAATGTTAGTAGCAGAATATTTTTTGTTAATAAGCTTTATACCATATGAATATATGCATATTTGTTTTTTTGTACAGATAAAATATATTCTAGTACATACTAGAGTTCATATCTTCTGTTCCTGGATATGGCCTTTAAATCTACTTCAGGGTGTTTTTGTGTATATGGATGTAAATATATACAGTACAGTGCACACGTCTGTGTGTATGTATGTGTATATATATGTGTAAAATACAGATGTGCAAACCTTGCCCCATAGACAGGTCTCCTTTTCTTTGTGTGTGCTGTTTCTCCATGTTGCCCTGTGGTCCCATATCTTGATGTTCCTAGAAGTTTCAAGTTGTGGGTCCTCGGCTATGTCATCTTTGCTGCTTGTGTTTTGTTGTTTAAGACCAGCTGAAATACAATGCTTACTATTTCATAAAGTTTGGTAAGTAGTGGTTAGTAGCTGGATATTTTTTTAACCTTTTCTTGACCCATTTAGCAACCAGCTCTAAAGAAGAATCTGATATTTTGACACAGACATGTCATAGGTAATGTTCCCAAACTGTTTAGTTTTGTTTTTTTTCTCCTGAGCTGAACAGTAAGTCATGGCAGGATTTCAACTGAAAGCTCGAGATGCCACAATGTCTGTGTGCAAGCAGAGAGTTGTTGGGCTGGATGAGCTTTTCTCTGCAATTGGAGGAGATAGGATATGCCATTCTAATGAAAACCCAAATTAGCTGTTACAAAATGGAGTTGATTCACTAGTTTCTCATCAGCGCTACTAGCATTGACTTAAAAGCAGTTGCGTATCTGCTGTCAATACAAGGTATAGTACAGTAAGTTGCTGCTAAAGAATGGAGGAGGAAAATTGTGTAATTTGAAGGTTAAAGCTATTGCAACAGTAGTTTATGAATCTTGCATATTACAACATCATCATGGCTTGTTGTGCTGCATCTCCAATTCAGTGTGCATTAGAAATACCTGGGAACACGTCGTAAGGAGGTACTGCCTTAAGTGAGGTAAATAATAGATCAATTGAATCTTTGCAAGTACAAATACAGGTTGACATGCAAACATGGAACTTCAGAGCTGAGTTGCTTTTTATGTAGGAGGTGTTTTGTGTATAACATGCATCAAAGGAATATTCACAATCATTTTCACAAAAGCACCTTTTTTTCTAAACCAGTTACAGTGCATAAGATTTTTCTAGTACCAGGTCAATTGCTTTCTATTATTAAAGTGTTATTACCATTTTGTATGTTTTGGAAATGATGTCTGCGTTCAGCAGTGATTTGCTTTTTGACAAATGTTCAGTTTGTCACTTGATCTGATAAAATTAAGGGAAACTGAGCACAGAATTCTTCACTTTTGTACTTGTATGTTATTGCATCTTCGTGAGCAGTCTCTTAGGAAGGGATATAATGTGGTTTTTTATGTCTTAAAAATAAAGCTTACAGTTTATTTCATCCTTTTTTAAACTTTTATTGGGCTGCAGTCAAAACTGTAATGTTTGTATTCCTTTGTTATTGCTTTTTTAATAGTTAATATGTTAAACCACTGGACTCTCTTGTAATGATTAATTTGTGAAACTAATTCTAAATGTGTACAATTTGTCCGTATGTGCAACTTACCATTGTGCAAACAATAAAACAATAATGCTGTGATCCTTGTAATACATATTTGCCTGTTTGAAAGATCACTTCCTGTTGTTTTCATGTTACAGGAGAAACACAAAAGTCATTGGCTAATATCATAGAATCATAGAATGATTTGGGTTGGAAGGGACCTCAAAGATCATCTCGTTCCAATCCCCCAACTAGATCAGGTTGCTCAAAGCCCCATCCGGCCTGGCCTTGGAACACTTCCAGGGATGGGCCATCCACAACTTCTCTGGGCAACCTGCTCCAGTGCCTCACCACTCTCATTGTGAAAAATTTCTTCCTTATATTTAATCTAAACCTACCCTCTTTCAGTTTAAAGCCATTGTCCCTTGTCTAATCACTACACACCTTTGTCAAAAGTCCCTCTCCAGCTTTCTTGTAGGCCCCCTCTAGTTTCTGGAAGGCTGCTGTAAGATCTCCCCAGAGCCTTCTCTTCTCCAGGCTGAACACCCCCAACTCTCTCAGCCTGTCTTCATAGCAGAGTTGCTCCAGCCCTTGGATCATCTTCGTGGCCCTCCTCTGGATATGCTCCAGCAGCTCCATGTCCCTCTTATGTTGGGGACCCCAGAGCTGAAGGCAGTACTGCAGGAGGGCTCTCACAAGAGCAGAGTAGAGGGGCAGAATCACCTCCCTTGACGTGCTGGCCATGCTTCTTTTGATGGAGCCCAGGATACGGTTGGCTTTCTGGGCTGCCAGTGCACATTGCTGGCTCATGTTGAGCTTCTCATCCACCAGCACTCCCAAGTCCTTTTCCTCCATACTGCTCTCAATCCATTCTTCGCCCAGCCTGTACTTGTGCTTGAGACTGCCCCAATCCATGTGCAGGACCTTGCACTTGGCCTTGTTGAACTTCATGAGGTTCTCACAGGCCCATCTCTCCAGCCTGTCAAGATCCATCTGGATGGCATCCCTTCCCTCCAGCGTGTCCACAACACCACAGCTTGGTGTTATCAGCAAACTTGCTGAGGGGTTTTTCCTAGAATTTACAGTGCAAAATTGTTCTTGCTGAAGTTAGAGCCTTGATCTCCGGATTGAAAGCAGAAGGGTGAAGGGAGGCATCGTGTTATGGGTTTGTCTAGAATTTCTTCACATGTGCACTATGTAAACCTGGATCGAGCTGTAATGTATCACAGCGCTGGGTATGGCTTTGTAAATAAATTCAAAAGCAGTCTGAGCCTCCTGGGTATCCATGTTCTGTTTCCTTGCACATTAAGGCAACAGTTATGTCTTTAATTTAGCCAAAGTGAAAAAGTGGTTCTGTAATACAATAATCACATGCTGGAGTACAAACTAAAGTCAAAATAGGATTTGAAATAATTATATTCCCAGAATATTACTCGGGTGGTTGAATTTAGCCATGATTTTCAGGGCTCAGCATTGTATACACTGTTTCAAATTATTTTTTTTCCAATTTAAACACGTCATATAATTAGTGTGCAAATTACAAATACATTCAAGGTGTGGCCTGGTTTTCTACAAGGCAGGTTAAGAAGCTGACCTGTACTTAAAAACCATGAAATGAAATCAAGTCTGGATTATTTGTTCTGTAAAGAAAGAAAAACATGTACCAGAGGAGAATTGAAGACACATGTTTAGGATGTGATTCTCTATCAGTTTGTACCTTGTTGTAAAACTGTGGTGTAAACTTGCTTGTGTGACCTCTTTCTTCTACAAGAAGTAACTCGTTTTTTCTTCACTCTTCTCCCTGCAATGACCGTAGCAGGAGGTAGGATTGCTTGCTTCGTGAACCTCTTCCTGGTGCAGCATCTCAAAACTTCCTTTATGCTCACGTTTGACTCTGTTCCTGACACGTCGGCTAGCGAGAGACTACCACGCTTACTGCTTTCTTGCGGATTGGGAGGGAGGAGGTTGAAATAAAGTGGAGTTGGATAGAATTTGTGCATCTTCCTCACCACAGGCTTCACATCAGCTATATCCTCTCTATCTGCATATTGATAACAACTGCATTTTGAACCTTGATTGCTTTTATAGCATTTTTTAAAAGAAAAAATAGTTCAGGGCTACAGGTTTAGTGGCCCTTTTTCCCTCTTTGACATCAGTGGTAATTCTTTGTTTTTTTCCAATCCTCTACTCATGTTAATAGATATAATCCAGAGTCAGTCATGTCAGCTCTTACCCATTACTGCTTCTAATATCTGGAATGTCTCAGCAGAAGATATCAAAGAAGCAACTTGCAGGTTCTTAGTGAGAAATTTAAAAGTGACTACAGAAAAATCCATTCGTACTGTAGAGCATAAATGCCTTAAGCTCTGTAAATGTTTGTTTCCGTAAAACTCTTATTCAAGTTAATAAGAACAATGAACTGGCTATGTGCGAAAATTTCCAGCAATAAATTATGCTGGTTTTGGACTATTTGCTGGGATTGTGCTGTCAGGCTGTTTCCCTCTTCCCTCTCATTAAATACCTTTTGACCCTGTGGCTAGTATCTCCAGACACTGATGGATGGTTAAAGTATCACGGTAGTAGATTTGTACAACTTCTCATGAAAATCAGCAGTTGAGCTTGGGGAGGGGAGTGACACGGAGTTGGTGCCCGCAGCAGCTCTGGAAGGCAGCAGTTACCCGCTGCGACGGTGCCCGTGGAGCTTCAACCCATCTGTAACAGGCAACCTCCACCCAACCAGACAGGTAGGTTGCTTAAAAGGAGGATGGAGGTAGTGAGGGGGGAGAAGTGTGGGGAGAGATGAAGGGATGTAGAGCACAGGGCTTCTTACTGTGAACAAGACAACTTGTTTTAATTCAGTTTGGGATCGTTTCTACTGAACTCAAAGTTGAATATGCTGGTATTTTTGTAGTCCCAAATCAAGTGAGTTTGTAGTATGTTTTTTTGTGTCGGTTGAATGTTGCATTTAGTAGGTAGAAATGGATGATTGTAGCAGTTTTGTTTTCTGCATGAACGATATTTTTACTTGCAGGGGGGAAAATACAATAAATTAACTCCATAACCAAAGGAATTAAAAAAATCATAGAATCATAGAATCCTAAATACAAAATTAAGGGAGACCTATCAGGATTCCAGTAGCACTGTTGGAGAATGCAGCTTTCACCAGGTGGCCAGAGGCTGCTAGTTACAGCCTGCCACTACAAAGCCCTTGCAGGTGTAGCTGTCACACAGTATGTCACCTTTTGTTTCCAGGTCATTCGCATTTTCTTAGGCTTTTTTTCTTAAGGTAGTAGGATTTTGTGAAACTTCAATGTTCGAATGATCCTTCCGACCAGTGTGACTCCTGTTGTTATGAGGTTTATTACTCGATGCTTTTTTACTCAGCCTCAGGAATTTAATCTTTATAGCCCATTGCTGCAGTTGAAGTGCCACAGTGAGGAGGTGGGTACTACGTATTACTACAGCTTTGATAACTTTTCCAAAGAATGGTTTACTTTTTATTTTCTTACCTTTTAGAAGTAAGGCAATTCTAGCTTGTTATGAACAGGTTATGATCAAGTTTAGAAGCTTCTACAAACTCAAAAAGTTTCTGGGTTGATTTTACTTTTGTTTGAGTATCGATCTGTCCCCACCAGGATATCAGGTAAATTCTGTCAAACACTTGCATGGAAAACTTGGAATACGTACTCTTGTCCTAAACAGGTC